CTTTATATCTCTTTTTCTTTACTTGGTGGTTCTTTAATGTCTCATTATAACTATTGTTATAATTACAAATTTAGAAAACACTTTGTTTTCAATAAGATATTATATCTCAAATTGAAAATTAGAAGCTTTATCTAAAACACATCTTAACTACCTCATTGTTATAGATACTGGTAGCAGATACTAATAGTCTTTGGGGTGGAGGGTGTTTGCTTGCTTGCTTTGAAACTATGTATCCCTGGCTAGCCTGGATATGTAGACCTTCAGCCTCAAACTCAGTGGTCTATCTCTGCTTTCTGAGTGCTGGGATTAAAGGTGTGCATCACCATGCCCACCCTGTGCAGTGTGTGTGTGTGTGTGTGTGTGTGTGTGTGTGTGTGTGTATACTACATCTATGTGGGTGTTCACATAGGCCAGACATGTCAGGTCCCCTGGAGCTGGAGTAACAGGCAGTTATGAGCCACCTAAATGAGTGTTTTGAATCAAACTTGTGTCCTCTGGAAAAGCAGTAAGTGCTTTTAACCATTGAACCAGCTCTCCAGCCCTTGGATCCACTTTTTGAGGTTTCAGTTATTACAAGAAAAGTAAACACAATATATCTTAAGAGAGACCACGTCACAAACTTCTATTAGCTTATTGTCATTAAAATTTCTTGAATTTATATTTCTAATAACAATATTTGAACAATGGGTTAAGAACCACACCCCCTATTCTTTTTCTTTTCTTTTTAGAAATGTTCATGTATTTATTTGTTTATTATTTATTTATTTATTTAGAGATAGGGTCTCTCTGTTACCCTGGCTGTTTTGGAATATTCTGTGTAGACCAAGCTGGCCTCAAACTCACAGAGATCTGCCACTTTCGTCTCCCAAGTATTTCAGGGCATGTACTACCATACCTGGTTCCAAACTAAGATTATGCAGGGCTTGGTCAACCACTACCAAATCTACAAAACTTGTGCTTCAGGTTAGGAAGAGAATTCACCAAGGAGGGAAGAGTGTTCGGAGAGGGTAGTTGTCTCTGAGGATCGGGGAAAGGCAGGGCCTAAGTGCATACAGGTCCATAGTGCTCTTCTGACCCCTTGGCTCCCGTTCCCAGGAATCTTTCTCCTAAGACTTCACAGGTTTCCCAGAACCCCAGCTTCACTCCACTTTGTGTCCACCTACAACTCAACCTCCCACCGTGGCCTTTAGGGACATGCCTCCTATAACCCTGGCCCCTAAAACTTTACCCAATCTCCCAAAAATCTGCTCTCACTTAGCTACTTCACCCAGTATTCACACCCTTCCCTCTATGACTTCATCCCATCTCCTATGGCCCCCTCCCCCACAGTCCCACCCTCTGTCTCATGACCCCAGCCCCCACCACCTTGCCCAATCTCCCACACCCCTGTCTGCCCTCCAGAAAACAGGAAGTGTTGGGAGTCACAGCTCTGGGAGTAAATGCAGGAAGCCGGGCTTATCTTGCTCTGCAGCCCTGACCCCTGGCCTTGTGCCGGGTAGGGGGCGCCAGGGGCAGTCCAAGGACAGAGTCTGCTCACCTGGGAGCCCTGGTTGCCTCTCTCTTTGAGCCACAAACTGTCACAACTGGACTGGAATGCTACCCACTGCACCATTGAGCACAGGGTGCATCAAACAGACAAGCAGCAGAAATCTGTCTACACAGCAAGAGACCCAGGAGCTGGTACCCCAGGATGTCCCACTTCCCCCACAGCAGGCACTGCACTGCTGCCAAGAGCCTGACCCTTCCCATTTCCACCCAAACAAGGACTCACTTCCCATAGCAGGTGTTACCTCTTTGCTGGTGATTCCAGATTCTAGTGGAGTAGGGTGTGTGGTGTATGTGGGTGTTTCTCTGTTTACAAAGCGAAATTTTCCTGAGGAGGGGGCAGGATGGGGACTGTCCCTTTCTCCCCACCCCCAGGATCCTGAAGGCCACTGGCAGGGACAATGGGCCTCAACACCTGCCTCACTCCCCCCCCTCAACCCCTGCCCCAGTAATGTGTGCTTCCTGGAGTAGAGGACCTTGTTTGTTTCCAGTTAGCTACAGCTGAAGCAGCCTTCTTGCACACCTGCAGGTCTTGCAAGGGCCTAGTACCCACAAGCCCACAAGGCCAGGTAGTCTGCAGGCCAGGGAGATAGCTTCTCCTTCACAGCCCTGACTATAGTGCTCCCCAAGCCCTGTAGGAGCCCAGTTGTTTATTTTTTTTGTTTTTATTTTGTTTAGCTGAACCTCCCTTTATATCTACCACAGGATTTCACAGTGGTGGTGTGATACCTAAGAATGATGAACTTGAACCAGGTCTGGGTCTACTTATTGGCTCCCATTCAAGATTTGTGTGTGATACAGAGCTGTTAACTAGAAAAAAATATGGAATGTTTCACAAATCTGGGTATCATTCTTGCCCAGCGGCCATGCTAATCTCTGTAGTTTTAGTATACATGCTGCTGAAGCGAGCCCAACTTTAGGGCTGTAGCTAAATTCAGAGCTCTGCATGCTTCACGGTGGCTCTGCGCTCACAGGGCACAAAACAGACATGTCTGGTCTTACTGCTCCCTTTATTCAGCTCGCCCACACTCCTACACTAGTGTGGTAGGTGGCAGGATAGGAAGTGCTGTCCTAACAGAAGAGGCTGCAGCCCTTGCTCCCTGCTGCATCATGGGAGGTGGAGCAGGGTTGTTAACACACAAGTAGCAAAGTCAAGATTAACTTTGGGAGTTGCAAACCAAAGGACTAGCCTGTCATCCATAGCTGTTGCCCAAGTTCCAGATGTTCTTTCAAAGGCTCCTAGTCGTGGGAGGCCGTGGTACCCAGACTCCCTTCAAAGCCTGCCAGTCTCTGTCTTCCAGGGTTACATATGGAGGCCTGTTTCCTGGGCTGCAGGAAATTGCACAGGCCTGGCCAGTGCCTTGGGGGGTCCCATCTGTAATCCTCACACCCCTCCCTGAAAAGTCAAGCCCTGAGAAAGTTTGTGTGGGATAGGACAGTACCAGTAGTCTCCAGCTCCATGTCTCAGCCTCAGTATCTCCAAGGTCTGTTCTAGCTGTCAGCAGCCAGCAACTGTGGGGCAGTTTCTGCGCTGGGCTGTTAGGAGTGCATGAGGAGGGTGTGCCCTGTCCCCAACTACAAAGAAGCTCCAGTGAGCCTCCTCCACTTAGGTCCCTGGGCTGAGAGTAAAGGACCTAGGATCTCAGTAACATTCTGCTTGCCCCTCAGCTCTGATCCTGAATCTGTACCTGTCCTCATCCTGCAGGAGGACAGTCATTCTAGTGTGTTGATAACCGCAGGCTGATGTTCCCAGGGCTCCTGCAGAGAGCCACGGGCACAGAGTTCAGGTGGTCTTTAAACGTACAGTCTGGTACAGGGTTTAGGCATCAACATTTATTCCCAGAAACTCTCGAGGCCTCGACCTCACCTGCAGTCCCAGGAGACCGTGGTTTGTTGGGTTTTTCCTCATTTGAAGAGAGGAAGGTGGGAATCAGGACACCCTGTTCCTCACCTCCCCAGTCTGACTGCTCTAAACAGTGGAATTGGACAGCAAGATGACTGCGGGATTCTCACTAGGACTCAAGTGATTTCCCAGTAGGATCTAAAGTTGGGCCAAGTATAAGTACAGATGGCCTTGCAAAATGGATACATGGATATTTCCATGGAGGATTGCCCATACTGCCCTCTTCTAGCTTAGTGCTCAGACTGTTACTTTCTCCAGATTCCACTTGGCCACTCTTTAGTCAAGTACTGCTGCCCTGTGGCTTACGTTTCAACAGAATTGGGCCTTTTTCTCTAGTGGGACATTGGCTATATCCCAGCATGCCCAATAAAACTCATCAGCCCAGGCCCACAGTCACCCACCCCTCCTCCACTGGTATTTTTCTTTCCTGGTAGGGCTAGGATCCTGCAATGGCCCATGCTTCTTCCCCTTGTCCCCTCACAACAGCTGCCACACACACACACACACACACACACACACACACACACATATTTTAGGTCTGGTTTTGCTGAAGGTATGTGTACTTATGCGCTCTCTGGCAAGCCCCCACCTTGTACTTTTCCACACTTGTACTTCTCCTACCCCACAGAGCAGAACAAAAATGTGCTCCAAGGCGGCCTGTGAGACCATTAGAAATCTGAATCATAGATTATTTAAATGCATACTGATACCCAGAAAGCTCCATTTCCCTCTACACACCACAACCTGGGTCCAAAGCTGATCCCAACTCTTCTAGCACTTGACTGTGTGATCAAGGAAGGTCCTATACCCTTTCCATGTCTCAGTTTCTTCAACTGTGAAAAGAAACAAAAGGTCCCATTGGGCAGACCACATGTGCACCAATGGAGGCATGAAGAACTTCAGGGCTATTTCTTGCTCTTGTAGATTGCCTTACCACTGCCTTTTTGGTCTCGTTTGCCTGTCTGACAGACACAGTGCAAGGTATTCTGGAGGCTCTTGTGCTCCACATCCTATTATAAGGCAAGGAGCCCGAGGGACATTGTCAAAGAGCTAGAACCATTCCACCTAGGCTTATGTAGGTAGTGGGGTCAGCCTAGTCAGTTTAACAGACAAGTCTGGGGCAGCCCGTGGAGTTGTCCCCCACCCCATTCTGCCCATCCCCCAGGGGCAGCAGGAAATGGCCCGGTCTAGTTTGTGGCCAGGGCAGCAAGGCTGGCTTCCTCTAAGTCCTGTTTCCTTTATCCGGTTGTTTTGCTCTAAATCCACCAAGCTCAGCCTTTCCCTCCTCTCCATTTCCACCCTCTCCTCCGGTCCAGTGTTAGGCAGGACGGATGCATGACGTTTTAAAACCCCTAACCAAGTTGGGGGGGGGGGGGTTTGAGGACTTCCCTGCCTTGGACACTACGTGAGGACAGGTCCAACGTCCCACCCACACCCCCTGCTGTATGAAGCTGGGAGCTACAACCATTGCCACTGCTCAGGTGTGAAAACCCTAAGCAGCAGATCCCTGGGTGATCCAGGGCCGATAACCAGTCAGGCAAAGATAGAAGAATGAGGCTACACCACTAGCTCCATTTATTGGGGCCTCACTGGGTATGTGAAGAATAGCCACGAAGGAGGGTGGTCTCTTCTCCACATCCTGGGCCTTTGAGTGCAGGCAGTCTGAGATGAAAGAGGGGGCGCTGTCAAAACATGAACCAAAGCTTGCTTCCAGTCTTCTCTGAGATGCGGGTGTAAGAACAGGGGCAGCGCTAGAATTCTCTGGTGGCCATGGCACTCAGCGAAAAGAGCTTCTCCCAGCAGGTGGCGACAGCATACAGGGCACGGAGCAGGAGCCTCCTCCGGCTGGGACGCTGCTGTTCTGGACGCCTCTTGGGCTGCAGGATCTGCTAGTGGGGACCAGCTGTGAGTGAGTGCATACAGATCCTGAACCCTTGCCTTAATCTCACAACTTGTACTCAGCCCTGAGAGAAGCAAGCTGCAGCCAGGTCAACCGGCCCTACTCGAGCCCAAAGCCTCGGGACACTGGTATTGCAGTCCTTAGTGGAAGGGCAGTTGAGGACACATACCCTGCTGGATGTCCGGCAGTGTCTGTGCATCACTGCCTTGGTGCGCACCGCTACTGTCCATGCCGCTTTCTCTAACGCATTGTGGGGAACTCCAGCCACGCTCCCAAGAAGGGTCTGACCCAGAGACTCAATAGACAGTAGGATGCTACGCTCCTGAGATGGAAAGGGAGGAAAGGCAGGACAGGGAGTGGGGGCGGAGCCTGAGGAAGGAACAGATAAGTGTAGGTGGGGGTACCTCTCCATACCTTCTGGGCTCCACAGGAGGCCCCTGGCTGTCCCTGACCTCCACCAGCTCCAGTCAGGTTTCTCCGAATGAAGTGGTGGTGCCGGGACCCAGGCTCTGTATGCTGGGCTCTTGTCCCAGCCCATTGCATGGCAGCCTGCAAGTCCTGGAAGATGACAGCCTGGTAGTGACGGAGTACCTCTTGGACACTGCAGGACTGGGACCCGGCCCAGCCTAGAGTCGACTCAAGAAATGCCAGCAGCATTGGTAGTAAGTAGAGAGCGGGTTTGAGGGGCACCTGGAGGGAACACCAGGTAGGGTTGAGAACCTAAGCTTCCAGCACAAGGATTGGCTCCATAGACACTGAGTCACCACAAAGGGAGCCCCTCATCTGTGAGATGGTAGAATCAAAAATTTCATCAGACTCTAGCTACGGCTTACGATAAACCCTGGCAGTCCTGGGGAAGAGAAAAGAGACGTAAATATCAAATAATGCCATGTTCTGTGAACATTTGTGGAGTGTGTATTGGGGCACAGGGAAATACTTTCACTGAAACCCTGAAGGACTAGGAAGGAGACAGAGAACAGGTATCATAGACAAGGGATGGCACCATAGTCTACACTGGAAAGGCAGAAAAGTTAGCACCTAAGTACCATAGATGTACAAAGGCTCACTGACTGGCCTTGTATAGGGAGTGGGAACAGCCTCACCAGTATAACCTCACCCCTAGCCACACACAGACCAGACCCATACCCCCCAGTCATAGCCCACCCCCATCCTGACATCGGATGTTCTCGCTTACCCTTTGGGTGAGCAAGATGGGATCTGGGCATGGTACCACTTTGTTCTCATGTAGTATGGGAACTCCAATCTCTTCCTCAGTAGTTCTGCTACAACCAGCCACAGAAACCAACCCCTGCCACCCCAACTAACCCCAAATCAAACCAAACCAAACCAAACCAAACCAAACCAAACCAAACCAAACCAAACCAAAAACCAAAACAATTAGGGCAGAAACAATGGTTCAGAGCTCCAAGACCCCCACTTGAAGGGGACGGCTGGAGGAAGTACTAGAGACAGCAGAAGCAAAGTCTGCCATCAAGCTTCCTCCTACCCCAACAGGAACGGACTGGTGACATCAGGGAGACAGCTAAAGGTCACCAGGACCCCAGCTCCTCCAAATGGAGCAGTTTCTAAACCTGCCTCCAGGCCTCCACAGAAACAACAGGACTCAGCTTTCCAGCCCTGGCAGGAGAGCTGAACTGAACACACCACAAACTCCCACATAGAGGTGGGTGGGGGTGGGTGCTTCTGCCTAGGATACCAGCACCAACACTGAAGAACAAATATAGTAGCACCCTCTTGAAAGTCATCTGGAACCATGGCCAATGGAGGGGTGCTGAAAACAGCCCATCAAACTACGCTAAGAACAAGAGCCAAGTCGGCCAGTGAGACTCCTAGAAAGACATCTAGCATCAACATGGGACAGGCTGGCTGCCAGGGAGTTCCTATAACTCAGGCTTAACCCAGTATGAGGAGAAAGGGATCTAGGAAGGCCAAGACAAAAGCACTAACAATGGTCATTTTACTTGGTACCATCATAAACATCTAGGGCGTTCCTATGAGGCACAGGGAAACAGCCTCCCCTGGGTTGTGCCCATGCCCAGACTCTTGGCCCAGGCCAGCCCTCTCCCCCAGGCCCCAACTGCTCACCATAGGCCTCTCAGGATGGCTTTCTCTTATTCCCTCTAGCAGGCCACACACATGATCCTGGGGTCCTCTGGGTCTTTGGGCTGCCAACGAAATAGGCAACTAGCAGTCACACCAGGTCCTCTATCGACTGATGGGGCCTCCCTGGTGAGAGTCGGGGGGGCAGGTGGAGAGGCGTTTGAAGTTGGCTCCTCCAGCAACGAAGGGAGGGAGCAAAGGGAGCAAAAAGGGAGGGAAGGAAAGTCCAGTAAGTCAGCCCTGCCCCTAACCCCTCCCCACTCTCTCTCCAGTCACTTCAATTAACCTGACTCTGGGGCACAGTAGCTGCCCACTGCAGCAGATCCAGGGCTTCTCTGGGTCTGGGATTGAGTCTCCAGCCCCATCGAGACCCCTGCGTTGTCTCAATGGGCAGAGAGCAATAGTCTCTCCTGATAGGCAGGCCAGCCACTAGTCCCCGGCTCATAACCAGACAGACCTGTTCCAGCAGGCCTGCAACTTGGGACTTCCCGAATTCTACTGCTGGCTCCACTTCATCCTTCTAGACCTTGGGGTCATCCAGAAGTAGAAGGCCCAGTCCCAGGATTGCTGTTTTGCTCTAGCACAGCAGCTGGTGGAACACAGTTAATCTCCTGCTGAGCAAAGCTCAGCTTCCAGCTGAAGAAATGCAATGGTGTGCGGTTGGTGAGATGGCCCAGCAGGTAAGGCACTTGCTGCCAAGCCTTGACAACCTCAAGTTGTCCTCTGACCTCCACAGGATGTTGTGGCACACATGCACCCCAATAAATAAATGTGATACACTGTAGCCAGAGGCTTTTCTATTGTCCTGCAACCACTTATAGAATAATCACTCAGAGGGGTAATATTAATTATAATTGTTAGGCTGAAGGTTCAGGCTTATTACTGGCTAGTTCTTACAATTAAATTAATCAATTCCTATTAATATTTGTATCGCATGTGGCCCATGGCTTACCGGTGCTCTGGCATCTTACTTCTCTGGCAGCTGCTGGCTTTCTCCTCCTAGCAATATTCTGCCCTGCTATAGGCCAAAACAGCTTTATTCATCAACCAATAAAAGCAACACACACTCAGAGTGTACAGAAGGACATCCTACATCAATACACAAGGAGTTGCTGACCACCTCAGCAGCAACAACAACAAATCATTCGCACAGAGAGGAAAAATAACCAGGACATTACAGGCTCACCTTTCTACAACCCTACAGGAAACATTACCCAAGCATCTTCTTTGGTTACTGTTTCAATGCACTCAGTTTGAGAGCTGGGAACAGTCAGAAGGAGCAGAAACCACCAACAGCCCGATGTAGTCAGGTCCTTTCCCTTCCAACTGTAAAGGAACCACTGGATGTAACATGAGGGCCGGCTTGTTGGGGTTTCTGTCCTGCCCGGTACCCCACAACCGGCAACTCCCAACAAAAATCACACACAGGACTCCATAAGATTATAAGCTGATTGGCCCATTAGGTCAGGCTACTTATTAGCTCTTATAACTTATGTTACCCCATTATCCTTATCTACGTTAGCCACAAGGCTCAGTACCTTTTCCAGTGGGGCAGCTTACATCTTTTCTCTCTGGTGGTCTGGGCAGAACTGCGGAGGGAGCTTCCTGTTTTCCCAGAATACTCCCAGTCTCTTTGCTCCACCTCTACTTCCTGTCTGGCTTTCCCGTCTATACTGCCTGCCTGGCCAATCAGTGTTTTATTAAAATATGATTGACAGAATACAGACAATTCTCCCGCACCACTTCCCCTTCTTTTTTTAAAAAACGAAGAAAAATATCCATAGTCCATTTTTTGGGAATGTGGGCGTAGTATTTCAGGCTACTTCCTGCTGGTTGGGGGCGCTGATAATCTTATGGGGACCTAAAGAAAATTTAGAGTTACAATCAAGTCCTGACTGAAGTATCCTGTGAGTCTCGATCATCTCAGGCAGCAGCCTTGAATCTGTTCTGGATGAAAAACTCAGACATCTGGGTCATCTGTTCCTACTGGAGGTTTCTCGGGTGGTCTCTTGGGTGGTCTCCCTTGGTCATACTGGATTTTTCTTAGCTCAGAATGAATCCACAGCCTCTCATTTCCTGTGGAAACAAAAGCAAAATCTCTTCTCCAACGTAACATACCTTTTGACTTCAGTTTTGAAGCCAAGGTATTTTCAAAATACCTATCTTGGGTTAGTTCAGCAGTATTTATAAATAAAAGTTCTTTAGCAGCTATTGCTCCTTCCTCAGCATTCAAACAATTTAAAGAGAGCATAATAGCACACAGCATCAAGATTCTCTGTGTATTTTCCATCTTTATGCAGCTTTATTTTAACCTCTATTTCTTTTATTTTTACTTTTACTTTTTGAGACAGGTTCTCTGTATATCTTTGTCCTGGAATAACTCTGTAGACCAGGCTGTCCTTGAACTCACAGAGATTCCTCTGTCTCTGCCTCCCCAGTGCTGGGCTCAAAGGTGTATGCTACTACACCTTGAACTCACAGAGATCTGTCTGTCTCTGTCTCCCAGGCATTGGGATTAAAGGCGTGTACTACCACACCTTAAAGTCACAGAGGTCAATCTACCTCTGCCCCTTGAAGTCTCAGAGGTCAATGTACCTCTGCCTCCCAAGTGTTGGGATTAAAGGTGTATACCATCACACCCAACTACTCTCTTTCTTTCTTTAAGAATTTTAGATTTTATCTTGCATATATTTTTAACATACTGTAAACCAGTTAGAGGTTTTCTTCCTCTTTGAATCTCTCTTTACTGTACGTCTCTCTTTTTTTTTTTTTCTGACCACATGAGTCTAAAACCGTGGCTTTGACGGCTGGATCTAGCCCATTCCTTAGCTTTCCAGCCTCATGGCAGAGGTACCGCCAGAGCCATTTTTATCGCCAAAAGTCTATGGCGTTTTAAGGTCCCTTCCAGCAAGCAAGCTTCACAGACCACACTCAGTCGGACTGCCTGCCTGAAAGAGTCAGAGTATGCCCTGGCAGGACAGCCGGCATTTTAAAACAGCGCAGCTTTTTTCCTGCTACAGCTGAAAGCCGAAAAGCATGCATTCAGCTTTTCGTCAACACCGTTTAAGTGTTTCATGATAGGACCTCTTAAAGAGCTGCAAAGTTTTGCAGCTAAAGCTGAGTCAGGAAGCCTCTCTTAGATGAGAGTGCTTGCTTGCTTCTAGCAAGCAGAGCAGACCCGAGAAATTGCTGTGACCAAGAAAACATGATTTACTCTATTCTTTCCCAAACTTTCTCAGGCTTTCTGTGGATGCAGTTATCCACATGGGCGCCATCTGTAACATGAGGGCCGGCTTGTTGGGGTTTCTGTCCCGCCCAGTACCCCACAGCCGGCAACTCACAACGAAAATCACACACAGGACTCCATAAGATTATAAGCTGATTGGCCCATTAGGTCAGGCTACTTATTAGCTCTTATAACTTATGTTGCCCCATTATCCTTATCTATGTTAGCCACATGGCTCAGTACCTTTTCCAGTGGGGCAGCTTACATCTTTCCTCTCTGGTGGTCTGGGCAGAACTGGCAGAGGGAGCTTCCTAGAATACTCCCAGTCTCTTTGCTCCACCTCTACTTCCTGTCTGGCTTTCCCGCCTATACTGCCTGCCTGGCCAATCAGCGTTTTATTAAAATATGATTGACAGAATACAGACAATTCTCCCGCACCAACTGGATATGGCCCCTAACCATAGGGAACCCCGTGAATCTCTCTGTAGAAATATCCAAGGAATTCTAGATATTCCTCAGGACAGGAACAGGAGGTACTTCCCTAAGCCAGTGAACTCATACCTTCCAAGGCAAGCAAAGATGCATGCTGAACTTCATTTTACCGCAGATGCCTACAAAACATGGGGGCTTCTCTAAGCCTTTCCTTCTTTTACAGCTTGGTCCCCATGTGATCTTCAGCCTCTGTGTCATAGACCCATGACAGAGCCCCCATTCTATATACAGCCTGTATTCCCAAGTCCTTATCTCGGCAAGCCCTTGGTACCCCAAGTATGCTTCTTTTGGAGCATAAAAGCCCTTGCAGGAGGCTTTATCCAAACCAGACTGGCCAAGACCACCACTCAAGGGAATAGGAGCGAAAGACCAAACAGAAGAAAAAGAAAGACACCCTAGCCCCAACATAACTCTATAAAAATCTTTAATGAATGAAAGATACACAGCATGGGGTTTGTGTTCACTGTCCATGTGCTGCCCCAAAGTGCCCTGTCCTCCACCCCAGCTATCAAAAGGTGTTTTTAATTCGGGCGGCTACCAGCACTAGTATTTCCCCAATCTTTCTCTGCCAGTTGGTGATATCCTTGGACACAGCACACCACAGTTCTCCATGCCGGGGCTCTGCATTCTCACAGCGCTTCCTCACCTCTTCCTGTTGCTCCTGAGGAGACCAAGGGGTACTTTAGGTAAGATTAGGTACACACTGAGCCTTGCCTGTCCCCTTGTAGATCTGGCCCCAACAGACTTCAAGCTATCCCCTCCTCTTGGGGAACATGGCATCTAAGTCCGTGCATCTGTGTGCTGAATTGTGTCAGACTCCCTACTTCTAGTCCCACAAACTGTCAGGTGCATTATCTTGGAACTAGGTACTTCCTGAACTCAACATGGTCTGGCTACTACTTCCAACGAGAGGCCCAGGACATCCTGGACACCCTTGCCTTATGAGCATGGTTTCAACAAACCTCAACTGGGAACGAGCTGCTGGTCCTGGCCACTTCCTATTCCTCTTCCCCATGGGCTGGACAGAGCTTTCTATTGTCTAAGACGTGGCTAGGGCAATAGGCAGGATATCACTGCACAATGGTATTCTGGGGAAGCCTCACCTCAGTGCCATGTTGCAGTTCAAATTTGTAGAAGAAGGCCCAGGCATCCCCCAGATCTGAGTCAATCTTCACAGTGCGGTGGAACCACTCCCGTGCCTTAGTGATCTTTCGTTCACTCCAGAACAGCCTGTTATAGGATAAGGAGAGTGCCTGCTGGGCTTGGGAGTCAGCTGGATCTACTTCCTAGTGAGCTCCGCAAGCCCAGGCATATGTTACAGAAGGCCTGAGTCATGGTCCAGGAATACCTGGAGATCACTCCAGATCCTTCACAGACCCCCGCTGCTTTTTATAACATTTACACACACCAACATCTTAACTTCTTAAACTGATTATTTTTTCCTGGGTCAAATACAGTATGAAACTAACTTTAACAAACATTAAAGCTGATTATAAAAACCTGAAATTTCAGACTGTTCCTCAATAACATACCAACCCTGGAGTATCCTGCCTTGTCCAGTCCCTTGTAGCAGCATGAGCAAACACAAAGACAGGTTCCCAAAGGTCAGCTCTGGGGTGTGGTGACACATGCCTTAATCACACACAGCACTTGGAAGGCAGAGGCAGGGAGATCTCTGAGTCTGAGACCAGCCTGGTCTACAGGGAGAGTTCTAGGATAGCCAGGGCTACAAAAAAAAGTCTTATCTCAAAACAAAAACAAAACAAAAGGCCACAAAATTTAAAATGAAGGAAGAAAGACAGAAGAGGGAAAGGACAGGACAGAACCCAAACCAGGGTCTCCATGGGTACCTTCCCCAACTGGTAGTTAGTACAGGATAACAGGACGAACAATGGGAAAGATGGCATAGCATGCTGTGGAGAATCCTTTTGCAGTGGAGGACTTGGGCTTGATTCCCCCTCCCTCCCTCAGTGAGGCAGCTGGAGCACAACTAACCTTTCCACCGAAGGCAGCTGTCTGAGCTGTGCTCAGGTACCAAGTGGGGCAATTTCATGCTGATAACTTGATTGTTTTTTAAGCCATGTAGTGCTCTTAATTGCTTGGTGTTAGATAAACTGTGATTTAAAGAGCATAAACTCAAGATAGCGGGCACATGGATCATCAGCTTGGGAACAGCAAGGAGTGACTTATTTACTTTAACAAAGCCTTTGTGAAGTTTATGGCTGCTCTGTCTGAGGGCATAAAGAAATTACACTGGGAAAAGGAAGCCCAGGCTAGGAAGGCTGGGTCTAAAGCCTCCCTCATCTGCTAGGGCCACAGATAACAAAGGTGCCCAAGCAGCAATGTGAAGGCAATTGCACCAGACCCTGAGATTCAGTGCCACTCAAACAGAACCTAACTGTTTCTAAGGCTCGGCCTTCATCACCACCAGTGGCATAATCCTGTGCTGGGAGGTAACAGGAGATCGCAGATGATCCATGGCTAAACAAGACAATGGATTATAGTCAGGGTTATTCCCAGGACCAGCTGAAAGGGTCTGAGTTCTGCTAACACAAGGAAAGTAAAAAATTCTTGGCTGAAGCCCCTTCAAAGGGGCTTTGCTTAATACTTAAATTCTGGTTGGAATATCAACAAATCTGTCCAGCATATAATCCAGGCCCCATTTGGTACTGAAACAAAGAGAACAGTTTCCATC